TCAGAAACACACTTTGCTTCTAAAACCACCCCAAAACTTCCCCGGCAAAAATTGCATTGATCAGAAATGACTTGGTTCGTACCCGGCTAGGAGGAATTATGTAGGCGTTTCATTGAATCATCTTGAGACCATGTGGAGGAGCATGGAAGATACCAGAACTGAACATTACAAGCTTGAGGACTACTTTAAATGCTTCAAGGGCATTTATGAAGGATGCTGAGGAGGGACAGAAGGCTATACCATTCATTCAGCAATTGTTTTTAGGCCCCATGTGTCACCCATGATCCTCTTCGGTTTGCTTGGTTTGCTCGCTGCACATCTCAAACAGCTTGTTTTTATCTCTTAGTGGACTGTGGATGTGATTTCCCCAGTGCTCGTGTTGGTTAAGTGTTTCCCCGAATGATTTTTTTTTCCCAAACAGTTGGAACCACAGTCCTTTTGTCTGTTAAAGTGACCAAACACGCGTGTGTCGGTGCTAATGTAATGTGCATGGTGGCGTTTCTGTGCTTGGTTTTTTTTTCCCCCCTTCTTAAAAGAATCCAAGTAAGAGACACAATTCTACTTCCTATCACAGATGCTTTTGAGAACACCATATTGGCCCAGACTAAAGGTAATACCAGTTCCACCACAAGGCCAGTACCTAGATCTGCTTCACAGACAGGTAACCAGAATTAACATATTTAAATGCTCAAAGCACATCACTATCATGTAAATCAGTGGATATATGTGACTCTGTTAAACTCTCCTGACCTTAAATTAAGTTCTCGTTAGCCTCCATTTTTCTTTCTCTAAGTGAGCCACAATTTCCTTTGGAAGGAATGAAATCCCAAGCCCAAGTAACTTCAGAGTCGAGAAATAATGGACCTGGTACTGATTTGAGGTAGATCAGAGCCAGTTCAAAATAGCGGCTTTGGATTAACTCTGGTGCAATCAGAATTTGGCCTCTGTTTTACAACCTGTCTTTTGTGTGCGTGAACTTATTAGATGTGCCATCTCTAAAATCTGATTGACGTGATAAAAACTACAAAGGAAGAGGGTAGAGCTATTTTTTTTAAATGTATTGCTTGCTGGGAGGTCTTAAATTATTCCTCTAAGTAGCTTGAGCCCTGCCAGTGAATAATAATGACACAAGATTACTAAGGCCTTGTCTATGTGAACAAGTTATTTATTTTCTTGTATAGCCAAAAGTGTGAATTCAAACTGATAGACTGATACTGGTATGATGTTAATAAGGGATATGCAATCTGTGGAGGTATAAACAGGAGATGTTTGAATAGGTGTAGAGGTTATAATAGCTCTGGGTTTGACATGTCTGGGATACAGTATCACGTTTGAAGGAATGGAGAAGGAAGTTGCAATGGAGAAGGAAGTTGAAAAATTGAACAAAAGAGCCACAAGAATGATTAAAGGATTGGAAATCATGCCCTGTAGTGACTGAAGAAACTCAATCTGGTTAGTTTACCACAGAGGAGGTTGTGGGGACGACTCGGTCACGGTCTCTGTACGGTGAGCAGAAGGCTTCTCATTCTGGTAGTCAAAGGTTGACGGAGCCCAATCTCTGGAAGTCGAACCCAGACAAAATAAGGCTAGAAGCAAGGCGCTCATTTTTAGCACGGAGGGCAATTCTAAAAGTTGTGCTTCAAGTGCGGCCATTGAACTCGAAGCTGGGATCGGTTCGAGGAAGCCCTCTGGTTTGTGTGATGCAGAAGGTCGGTTGAGATCGGCGGTTCTCAACCTTACTAGACTCAAGCCACCCCGCAGAAAATGCCAGCTCTTCGCTTTCGCTCCTTTTTGACTACAGAAAAATACTGAAGCAATTCTTGTGTTGCAAAGAACTCAGAAAGACCACAATGGGTCAGGATGTTTTCAACACTGTGGACTCCTAGTTGAAATCTCTGGGTTGAGCTTGGGACCAAATTTGCACACCTAACAGTGCTAACATTGAGCGACACCCCACAGCACCCGGGAGAGGAATTCAAGGCACCCCAGGATGCCTTGGCACCCTGATTGGGAATCACTGGTATAGGCAGTTACGATGGTCCCCATTTATTCTTAAAACCAGTGACTCTATTTTATATCACAACGTCTATTTTAAACAGACTTTGCATTTCTCCCAGGAGAAAGTTGTATGTCCTGAGATCTTACAGTGGTACAAATTCATTGTCACACTTGAATTACCTGTGAATTATGTGAGATGTTCAGTATTATCTCACATTTCCTGGCACAATTGTGGTTCATTCCTGTAAATTGCTGTTCTTTCAAGGGAGAAGTGATGTGTGGAGGTGGCTGTGCCGTGCTGCTTTTGTCCCAGGTTTTGACTTGGATCAATCAGAGCTCCCTTAGATGTGACCTCTGTGTTTAGCCTTTGTGAAGCTCATCACCTGGTACCTTTGTTCCAACGTACGAGCGGCTTCTTCTGGTTTTGGTTATGTCACCAGGGAAGGAGCGTAAACTCAATCCAAATAAGCCACGGTTATACTGGAACAACAGCATCCGCACAGTGCACGGATGTGTGTGTTATGCTGGTGTGACTATACCTGTCTAACGACATCAGTCAAACTAGAAATCTTTTCCCATATACATAAGGCCCTCAGTCTGCTGCATCTTCCTGAACAGCACCAGATTAACCAGCCCCTCTTTAAAACATCTGTGTAATGCTGATTTTCCATCGGTCCAAACCAGCTTTTGCTGAGAAAGGGGCACGCACTGCGAGGTGGTATGTAACCCTTCTGTGTGACCACGGATCTGGCTTTGTGCCTTATGGCTGTCATGCTGCTGGCTTGTGCCTGGTGGCAGCAGTGACTCACCAGCTGCAAACGAAAGTTCAGCTCCACTTCTGAGCTACCTGCACTGCTTTTCATCTGCCCAGATGAGGCCGGTATCTATCTAGCCCAGGGGTGGGCAATTATTTTGGGTGGAGGGCTGCTTACTGAGTTTTGGCAAGCCATCGAGGGCCGCACGACAGGCAGCCAGGGGCTGATAAATATTAATTTTCTAAGTTTTGGGGAGGCCCCATGGCCCAGATGGAATGGCCTGGTGGGCTGCATCCGGCCCGTGGGCCACATTTTGCCCACCCCTGATCTAGCCCAGGTACGTAAAGGGAGTAGATGCAAGGAGCTTCGATCTGCCCACTGGTATTTGTCCAGTGACATTCAGCAATAAAAGGTCTCCAACCACAAGCATGGGCAAGAGCACTGCCATGCTTTCCAGCATGGAAGGAAAACTATGCATTAATTGCCTTCAGTAGATTCAACGAAACAAAAAGTGAGCTTGGATTCAAATGAACATATTCAATAGATATCTCACATCCATTTGTGCCATGGCCAGAGTCTTCCCAAGGGATATTATCCCTGCTTTCGATCTATTGTCCTCGCCCGTGCGGAAGAAGCAGGTAGATGCTATCTCCCGGCTCCACGTAAGGAACAGGAAGTACATGGTGCTGTCTCCAAAAGTAGAAGATTTGCCAGGCTGGCATGTACCAGGGAGGAATTCTGGAGGACTTCCACAAATATGAATTAACATGGTCCTATGACGGTCTCATGCATGATCTGGAACCTGCCTATCTCATTTAGCCCCTAGTGTATTTCTTGCTTTGGGCAGGTTGAGAGCACCCAACCTCACCCAAACAGCGGCAGCTCCCTGTTTCTGTTTCCACAGATGCAGGTGGATGAAAAGCAGTGAGACAAATTCTTTGAATCCCCAGAAAGTTGCATTCAGTTTGGGAGCAAGGTTGGGACACAGGCTGAGGGATAGGGTCAGTTCTGTCCAAAGGAGTGCTCTCATTACGGTCAGTTTTATGAAGGGAAGGCTGAACTTTGGCCATCTGTATCGAGACGCACTGCACATCCTTCTTTGGTCTGAGATGCATCTCCCTTTGCCCTGCAGCAAGTTACTTGGGAGGTAATTTCTTGGTCACTTCATTAACTACTTGGTTAATGAAAGAAAAATGCCCATGCGTTCCACGTGACCGCACACTTCCCCAATTGAATATCTTGCATATGGCACTAGAAGGCATCAGTATCTTAAGCAGGAACGGGAAGGCATTAACATCACTCAGCTGTGTCATGTCATCCACGCTGCTAATGCTCACAGAGAGTTAGTCGGCTGCTTTTTCAGAGCAGGAGGCCTGGCTGGACCTGCATGGTGCACAGTGGTGATACTCAAGCTATCTTGTCACGGACTTGCTCCTGAACTGGAAGCATCGTGGCCACATTCACGTGACGCTGCACTCAGGCTAATTAATTTGGCTTGTCTGTGCCATGTAAACCTACCCTCTGGGTCCGGTTCTCACCGAGGCTGGGGCCGACGGCGGTGCAATCCTGCGTGGGTGCAGAGTTCTAACTATATATTTCTGTATTGCTATCATGATGTGACAGTATATTTGCTGCTATACAAGAGGAGCAACAAGAGGAGCCAACCTGTTGATCTTGCCTTCTATCTACCATGAGCCAGCTCTACTGACCCGGCAAAGGAGCGCTCTCGGGGAACGGCAGTCAGTCCTTCTCTTCTTGCACCCTCAGCTGTGTTTGTCTAGGCGCTGTGTTTACACCCAAAGACCTGTGCCTCCTTTCACTCTGATTCTTCTTTTTCCTCTTTGCCAACTAATTCTGCTTTAGGCGGTTACCAATTTTTTGAAGCAGTTTGTGCATAAGGTCACCTGGAAGCGGGCTGGAGAGGACTGCACTTCAACAGCTTTTGGACTTGGGAACTAGAGATGTATACCCTGATGTGACCTGAAAGCTGGAAAACGCACGCATTGAACTTGCCTTTCTGAACAGGCTCCAGCTAGTCCCCTCCACTAAGTCATCATTTGTTATAACTCTTTCTGCTGAAATACGCCTTGTCCCTTCTGCTCTGTAGTCACCGAAGTGAATTTTGAAATAGTGCTGGAAAAAGATACAGTGCAGGGGAGTGGGGGAGGGAAGTGTCTGAATATGTTTGACTTCTCTAATTCCTCGTGGAAAGTGGTCAAAGCTTGTTGTTTGATGTTCTTCCCCCAGGTTGGCCCAGCAGACAGATGCCATCACTAGACACATTCGAGGATTTTGAAGCTATCCCCTCCAGCACTGATGAGCTCTCTAACTCTTCTGACATGGATGAAGAGACCAACGCTAACAATGTAATTCCTTTTCACAACATACACTGCACCTTTCTCCTTGCTTCCTAATATAATGTCAGGGCCGAGTTTGGATCCGTGTTTTCCCCAAATTCAGGGGTGTTTTGGTTTGGAGATTTGATTTGGTTCTAGGTCAATGACAGAAGTCAAAATTGGAGCGGTGTCCAAGTTCCCTTGAAGTTATGGGAGGTTTAGATTCATGATGGATAGTTGAGGCCATCTCTAGAGAGAACTCTGCCACCACTGTCCATGGGTATATAATGCACAGTGCTGTCCCGAGTGTGCTGCTGACTTGTAGCAGCATCTCACGGCCTCGGAGCTACCAGAGCTGTGTGAACAAACTCACCTGCCTGGACATTGCTCTTGGGTGCGCTGACTTCTTCGTTAGGTTATTCTGATGACCGGGATCAATGAAAGCCTCCCTCGTGTCACTTATGAAGATATAGAAGCAGAAAGAAATCAGCCTAGCCCCCTTTCTCGTCCTCTTCAGCCATTTCTAAATTCCCAGAAGTCAGAAGCATCTAAAAACCAACATTTTTTATTTTCCTTTTCTTCAAAGAAAGCAGTCAGCTCCATGATCTGAACACAACTGCGCCTTTAATCTGCCACCCCCGTTTCAGACACTTCCCGTTTCATTGAGTAGCGCGTGTTCTTTGCCCCGCTCTAAAACCCTGTAAGCAAAGGGGCTGGGGTCATGTTTCCATACTTGCTTATGCCAGGTTTTGTGCTGGCCCATCAATGAGACTTTCTCCTGATTTACACCATCATTACCAGGAAAGGATTCAAGCCCAGGGATGGAGAGAGATGCTTTTTAACGACAGCACAGCTGAATGACTTCATTTTGGATCGTTAAGCAGCATCTGGTCACATCTGCAGTGTCTGGAAACTTTACATGAGAAAATAAGTCAGTTCGAGCGCACGGGACCACTCGGACGGGAAGCACAAGCCCAGAGTGGTGGCTGATCTCTTCTTTCCAGAGGCCTGACTTGCCCATAGACATCTGCACGTGACTAGCCTTTGGCACTGGCCAAAACAAGAATAGGAAGTAATAGCAAGCCTTGTAGAGGACATTTCTCAATGCCTAATGTAGTCCTTTGCCCAGAAAGTTCCTCTGCCCAGTGTCTCCTTCCTTCATGGTAACGGCATGTCTGGTGCACTGTTTCATTCATTACAGGTGTCCAACCTCTTTCGGGTAGAAGGCAGCTTTGAAACCTGTTTTCCAGAGTCTCTTGCTCTAGAGGATGGAGATTTAGTGCAGTTTGTACAGGAGGGAGAAAACGGACAATGGTAAGTACCGCAGAGAGCTGAGCTGATAGGGCAGCTCCTCGAGAGGCGCCGTGTCGTGATCACACCCTCCAGAGCCTGCAATGGACCCCTGGCGACTTACAGAGCCGTGCTGGGGCTGGGGGAGCGCTCAGGTGGGCTTTGCACCACTCCAGCAACATTTCTCCCTTTACAGCCTGACCATAGCTGGGTTTCTAGTAGGGCTGTGCCAGGTTTCCGACCGTGCTTTGGATCCAGAGAAGTTTCGCACGCTTCAGTGTCTGAAGCCGTATGTCCAGATCGAAGCGCTGGCTTCGTTAGGCTTTCTGAAGCAGTTCGGAGCTTCGGAGCCGCTTCGGAGCCGCTTCGGAGGTCCGGCCATAGGTTATAATGGGGAACAATTGAAATATCTGTAACTTTGTTGTTTTTTTGTCTGGTTTGGATGAAACATGGAGGGGTGGTAGCCCCTGGTGAGGCCACGAAGCCTGCCAAGTTTCAAGGAGATTGGTGCAGGGGCTTGGGGGGAACTGCACCTCGAGCTGCTGACAGGCAAAACTAGTGCCATGGGTGACACTGCGTGTGTTCAGGCGCAGCGAGGTGACAGCTGCAGGGATGGTGGCCCCTCCTTGAATCCTGGCAGGCTTCATGCTCTCAGCAGAGGCTACCACCCCTGCAAGTTTCATCCAAATAAGACAGAAAACAACAGAGTTATAGATATTTCATTGATCCCCCATATGCCCTATGGCCGGATCTGCGAGAAGCCGGATCAAAGCGGGAACCCAGTCCGGATCTCCGGATCGGATCACTGCCATCCGAAGCGGGCGGATCCGAAGCTGGATCGAATAGCTGCCTGCTCGCACAGGCCTAATTTCTAGCCCTGTCCTGTGCGTTTCCATGAAAAATGGGCCAGTGCAAAGGAGGTGGATGGGAAATGCACTGACCTGTTCTCTCTGCATTTCAGGCTAGTCAAGAAGCTGGTGTCTGAGAAAAGCGACTGGGTTCCTTCCAGTGTGTTACAGCCAGCAGACGGGCATAGTAACAACTTGCTTAGGAACAGCAATGCAGGTAATAAAGGTAGTGTCTGCCCACATCGGGAAAGCTCCTGGACTTTCTTTTTATTTTTGCTTTAGAAAGCATACGTTGGTGCCTGCTAAAACAAACACACTTCAGATACGCATTCAGTTCAGCGGCCTCACTAGATGTAGCTGTTGAATCCAGATCAGGACCTCCATGGGCATCGGGGTTCAGTCCCATAGTCACTGGTCTGTGGTTCAGACTTGAATTTGAGGACGGCAACGTCTTGTGAGCTACTGTTGCAGATCAGGCACTCGCACAATTGCAGGTCAGGCACTTGCACAATTGTTTCCACCATCTTGGGTTGAAGTCCTTGGCGACATGCTGATCTTATGAGATTTCACTTAAACCAGAAGTCAAACCAGTTTTTTTTTCCCCCAGCTTTAATTCTGGCCCCAAATCTTAAGGGAGTGGTTAGGTTTGGAGAGTTGAATCTAAACCCCTCTGCGGATCAAGGTGATTACAGATTGGACCCCTCTTTAAAATGAATGAGCCAAACCCATTGACACAGGTGTGACTCATTGTGGAAAGAGAGAAGCTTGGGATGATCCATCTAGAAGAGAGAGGTGCTGTTTTTTAATTTGGAGGTGGGGGAGTTTGACAAAACTTTGTTTTTTGTTTTTGAGGATTTACCAGGGTTTAAAAAGCCCTTTTGAAAATATACAGAAATTCCTTGCTGCAGCTTAAGAAAAATATGGCAGTCACTGTGGCCTGCCAGCAGATCTGTGCTTCATCTGGATCAGTACTTTGATGTTGATCCCATTGACAGTTGGCTGAGGGACCCCTCCATCCTGACTAGTGATTAACATATGGCGTGGGAGTGGAGATTAGGCATTTTTTTTAAATTTTACTGCTGGGCGCTTTGGGATACTACTATCAAACCTCAAAATTGTAGCATAAAAGCCCTTGAGGTTTCAAGATAACGACACCCTCCGTGCATTCGTTTTTCAGAAGCGTACAACGATGCCTGCAACACGACCGCCGCAGAATCGGCCATGAAGGAAAGTGAGGTGGCCAGGAGCTTAACAGCAGAGCAGAGGGCTGGAAGTTGAGTCACGGGGCTGTGACCTCCTCAGGACTCCAGGCTCTTGTTTGTTGGTTAGGGGTGGATGCTGGACCAAGTTGCCTTTCTCACCAGCTCTGAGCTTCAGAGTTTCTTCCATCTTCATCGGCATGAACAGAGGAGAACTGCTGGGTCCAGCTGACAAGCTGAAAGACTTGAAGAAGCACTAGACATTAAAAAAAAGCGCATCAGAACCATCTTCAGTATTAAACAGGAATTGATAAATGCTTCTCGCATTGGTTAGCAAACTGTTCGAGAGGATGTGGCCTAAATTAGGTCGACAGCAGAATGAAAAGCTACTATGCACCCACCTTTTGGCAACCTTGCTTGGGTTCTTTCCAAGGGATGGATCTGTGGTCACCAGTTCCTGCTCCACTGGGGAATCGCCTGGCATTTTTCCATTTGTCTGGCTCTGCTGCTGTGCCTTTCCCTGACACCCCTCATTCCAGAAGATAGACCATGAATATATCCAGTCATTCCTAATGGATCATCAGGAGCAAGAACCTAACATTTGCAGGGAAGTGGTGATGGAAAAACTCATGCCAACTCAAGACTATCAGCGAAGCTGAGCCCTGCCATGGCGTGACTGCTTTGACAGTGGTGCGGTGAACGATCTTCTGTTTACAGGATCTGTGGATGACGCAGGTTGGCAACTTCTGGCCAAGAGATGGAGTTTCAAGGTTAAGTGGCGAACAAAGACATGTGATGATGACTGTGCCGAAGGACCGGCTGAGCTCTTCTTACAGTATAAACAGATTCCTTCCCTCTACCATGGTTGCTGGATCACATCCCTCTGCATTTGGTGCTGATAATTTCATAGAGCGGCATTTAAAGTTACCCATTTGAGTACACTGCATGCTTGCACTTCCATTGTGTGCTGGGCTATGGAGTAGGTACAGTTCATTCCCATATCGCATCCAAATATACTTAAGCATTTGCTAATAGGCTGGTGAGTGTTAGAAACACTGATGAGTGGATAAAGTGTTATTGTTAATTGCTTCTTTCCAGGACATTTTTATTAAGGACTGTACCAAATCTCGGTCACATTAGGATGAATGTCGACCTTTTACAAATGTTAGTAATTCCTGTACAAGCCATTAGCTCATTCAGAGCAAGTCTGAAGGCATGTGCATGGAGGTATTTTGATGCTAAACCGGAGTTTTCAAGCCCACAAAGCTGCTAGTCCCTTACGTGTTGCAAAACTAAATATTGATCTAGGACTGTGCATAGAGGAAAAGACCAGTCTGGAAGAAATGACCCTGGAGAGCTCAAAAGTCAGGGATTGGTTTTCCCCACCGGAGACTGTTTTTTCCCCCTCCCCATGACTAATGATGCTTCAAGTAAATAATAGACAAAAATGGAAAAAAGGCTAAACCAGGAACACTCTATGAATTGCACCATTAGGCAGAATAATAGCATGAAATAATCATGCTTTTGAAGTCACCACTGTTGCACTGAGATACAGTGTGGGCTTATTTAGTGCTGGTAATAGATTTCATTTACCTTTCCAGGGTAGTTGGGGCCAAAAACTGCCCTCAGGAACATACAAAAGTCCTGCTAAATCCCCTAGAGCAGGGGTGTCGAACTCATGTGCCGTATAAGCCAGATGATGGGCATCCCCGGGCTGGTCTGTGGGCCGGACTGGGACCGACCCTCCATGGAGCAGTCACAGTGCTGGGTCCGGCCCACGCACCGCACACAGCACGTACCATGGCATGGGGCATGTCTGCAGCACCCGGGCTGGACCCAGTGCTGCAATGGCACTGGGAGGGCTGGTCTGGGGCGCCTGTGCCCCAGCCCCCCTGTGCTGTGCGTAGCGCTGGGTTTAGCTTGCGTTGCATGGGCAGCACTTGTGTGCGCAGCAAGTCCTAGGGCCAGCACATGCTGCATACAGTGCGTGGGGTTAGCCCAACCCTAGACACTGGTTCTGGGTCTGGCGGGCACCGGCTGGCCCTCTGTGCCACATGCAACGTGTGGGGCTGGAGGCAGTGACCCACGGGCCAAGTCGTACAGATCCGGCCTGCGGGCCGTATGTTTGGCACCCGTGCCCTAGAATCACATGAGCAGCTTGAAGGCAGAGGCTGAGTCCCTTTGGTCCCCAAATACAGTTACAGGTTTGTGCAGTGAAATCATTCCCACTCATCCCCACAGAATAACTTCACTTCGGTTTCCTTGTTACTTCAGCGACGGGGACACTGTCTGGTCACGGGGCCTCTCCTCACCCCTGCCACCCCCTGAACGTGCCGTGTGGGGCTGGAGAGGTTGTACTGCACAGCGGTGTGCACAGAGGGGTTTCCTCTGTGCACGTGAACTTGCCAAAACAAAGGGTGTCATTGTTGTATTATTGTTATACGAAAGCCAAAAATCGCACTTTGGATTCTCCCTAGAGGAACAGGTAAGATCCAAACCATCATTGGTAAAACATCAGTCTGTCTGCTGGTGACGCAGGTGGGAAGTCAGGAGTCACAGAAAATTCAAGTTGGAGGGACCCCAGGAGGTCACAGCTAGTCCGACCCCCTGCTCAAAGCAGGACCAGCCCCAGCTACATCATCCCAGCCAAGGCTTTGTCTGCTTATGTCAGCTCTATCTCAGCCTCTGCCATTTGCAGTGCGATCAGAGGTAAGTCTCTTCCCTCCTGAGGACCTCTGCTTCTGCGTGTGTCAAATGTGGGAATGACACTGCTGTTTCCACTCGCCTGTGCCCCTCAGTTGGGCGATCTCTGCCAGGCAACCCATCAAGAAGCCCATTCCTTCTTGGGGCAGTGAAGCAGCAGGCTGCCATCACTGCCTACATCCCACACGCACCTTGGCACTCCCAGTATGTTACCAGTTGCCTATTACCTGGATACACTGGGATGGTGGGGCAGAGCAGGCTCCTTCCCTCCAGACCACAAAGACAGCAGCCACAAAATTACAGTGTGGATTGTAACTACTTTTCCCCACCACCTTTTTATTTAACAATTTTTGCAGGGTTTTTTTTTTTCTCTGTCAACAATATTTCAAGGTTTGTCGTGTTGACCAAGGTTTATATGTCATGTTATTTTTATGATGGAGAAAGTCTCATACTACCGCATTTACTGATAAAATCCAAAGACTTTGATTTCTTGAGGAATCAAAAATAAAACTGAGGACAATTCTAAACGAGTAGATAGAGAAAGATTGTATTTTGGCTTTGCTAACATGATAGTCCAGGGTTCAGTGACCGTCCATTTTGCTTGTTTGGCCGCCAAGACAATCTTTTAATTGATGTGGTTCTTTGTGGCCAACCAGGACTTAATAACATGACGGATACCCCGTCCAAAGTCTAGAGGATGATTTAGGAGCAGAGTTAAGATTCAGCAAGGCGCATGCATTAGGGAACAGCCGTGTTGGAAGCAGCTTTTCCCACAAGTTCATTGTCTTCTCTTCTCTTCCCACATCACGATGTGAATCCCAGAAAGATATCCCTGTCTACACTGCATGGAGAAGACATGGTAGCTAAAGAGGTGTTTAAGAGTAGTGGCTGCCAAAAGCTTTCAGCTATAGCATAAACAAGGGGTAAGGCCCGGTCTGAGCCATAATAATTGGCATGTTTGATCCTCCACTGCTTTTAGGGTCTCACCCCATTAAGCAGAGAGTGGAGAATCAGGGCCATCATGTCTAGACACAATTATAAACAATTGTCGCCCAACTAAGTCCTATCATTGGCTTTCCTTGCCAGACTGAACAAAGATTTATGTGGTTTTGTGTTCCTGTTCCTTAAGTGATTAAAAGCCATTTTGACAGCCAGCCTTTTTTTTAAGTGCTCAGAGATCTCAAACAGGATTGGGTTTCAGGAAGGTCAAGTGCTTCCCTTACATAATGCTTGAGGACTGGCTTGTTATTAGACGATCCAGTACTTAAAAAAAGCCAAATTGTTGCATTTTTCTGCAGCAGCTGAAGCTGAAATAGCTGCTAAGAGTTCTTCTCGTATGCTGAGAATTGGTACAGTTTGTCATTCTTGCATATTTCCATGGTGTTGATGACGACGACGATGTATTTGTATATTGTGATTGAGAGATAATCAGACAGGTCAAAGCACAGGATTCTCTTGAGGAATCGCCTGTCTCCTTCCCCCCCCACCCCCAAGTCAAAGCTGAATGTATGAATTTATAACAAGTGTGCAAAGTTGGAATTTCTGTAAATAGGCTGTTCTGAATGATGTAGAACCACACTTTGTTTGGACTTTATAAAAATTATAAATACTGTAGTACAAAACACTTCGTGGTTGGGATTTCTGTGCAACACAACCGATTACATGAGCTCTCTGTGAATCTTAAAAAAAGGCACGTTCATATAAAAGATCTGTCTGCAGCTGAAAAAACCCATGCCGACGTCCAGGTTAACCTCAGTTATGGCCAAGGCATTTTTGGCCGTGCAAGCATAACGCTTTCCCTTTACAGAATCTCCATCAATCACACCCCCTGACTCATGTTAGACACTTATTTAAGCATAAGACTGAGTTTAATGCAGGTGTCTGTGCAAAGATTGTAATTGCAGCCCTGGCTCTGTTGAGTGCAAGTCATGGCATTAATGAACAATGAAGCCCATATGATTTGAGGCCTGTCTGCCTATAAGGCTACTTTTCCCACTAAGATTCAGCCTGGCATTTGAGATTCTATGAAGTGCCTCCACTATTAGACCCTCAGTCATGGGATGGAGGCAAATGTATTCACTGTGTCCTAGATTTCTCTCCTTTTCAGTCCCAACTTTAGGGCATGGTGTGTAGCTCAGCCACCTATTCTTTGGTTGTCTGAGGACTCCAGGTAGGGCTGGGCAGAGGACGCGGTTGTATGGAAAGAGCTGAGCTTTGTTCTGCACTGTTTCATGGGTGGATATTTGTCAGCAAAGGAGTTATAACTTTGAGCAGCTGCCCGGAGACAAGACGATGGGCCATTATTAAAAATCTGAGTGCAAATAAATATTGAGAAGGAGCGAGAGAGAATGCACACACACCATGTTTTGAAAAAAACAAAAGCCTCCCCCCAAAAACGAGGAAAACCCATTGGACAGAACGTCCCATGGTGTGAATCGGCTGTGTAATATAGCCTGCTGTCCACTAGAGAGAGTCAGAGCTCTTTATCAACGGAGTACGATTTGGAAATACAGAGCTCAGATGGAAACTAATCCCTCCAAAAGATTTATATGTCGATGTGATCCCAGTGCCCAGCACAAGTTAGGGGGGTCATATTCTGAGAGTGATTCGCAGTGGTGGTGAATTGAGCCATTCATACATGCAGTTCCCATGTTCTGGTTGCACAGTGAAGGCCTCATTTGCCTCTTGGGTTATGCTGATATAAATCAGACGTAACTCTATTTGAATTATTTCTGATTTGAATCAGTGTAAAAGAGGAGAGATTCGGGTCATGAATGCTGCAGCTGCTCGTGTAAGTTAGTGTCACTATGAGCGAGATGGCCAACTCCTTAGCAAGCAAACGCCTGAAGACACTTGGGGTCTCATCCGCTCTGAGCCCCTGACTGATCTTCAGCAAGTCCCTCGACACCTGGAAATTTTCTTGGTGTTTCTGCTTTTACAGTTTGCTCCCATCCTTTTAGACCTGCTTGGGTCAAGGTCTGGGAAAGATTTGGAAACAGTGTGGTGCCATGCTGGTGTTGGGAGTATTGCTGTCAATGCCAGTTCTTGTCTTCTTGGTTCAGCCTGCGCACTGGGTGAGCTGCTCGGTGATATATTGTGGCCTTGCTCTTTTCTGAAACCCAGTTGGAGCAAGCAAGTGTCCATTGTGTGAAGCATCCTCTCCACCGAGCGCAGGCAAGTGCAGACAGAAGCGCTGAATAGCAAGGTGCAAGCCCGTGGTCCATGTCAAGCCTGATGGGAGTAAAGTCCCACATGTACAAACCCAGGGTTAATACACTTTAATTTTCAGAGCTGCTGTGCTAGGTTGCCCTCCAGGTTGAGCGTGGATCTTAAGGATACTTTTAAAGGCGGCCGTGTGTCTATCCACGTTGTTGGGTATGGCTATGATCTTGACCCAAATGGCCATGCCTGAGCCAACTGATCACATCTCCTTGGGGCCAAGGAGTAGGACTGAGCGTGTTATGCAGCACGGCCATCGTGTGCAGTGTCTGCTAGTTGTTTCCTTGGCTTGGGCCACCCCCAAATGCTCTACCTGTGTTCTGCATGTGGGCTGGCCCCTTTTACCAGGTCCCCTTAGTGTGCTGATCGGAAATAAGGAATTTAGCCCTAAAGAAACAATTCAGAAATACCCATTGGGCTAGAGTACCAATGCGCACATTCTCATCTGCCTCGGCCATTGCAGAGAGTTGGCAAATGATAAAGCCACAGCCTTCAAAGAGAGGCATTGGCTAGTTGCAAGCCACCGGTGGCAATGTTAAGCTAGTGAGATTGCAGCTCATGGGGTGAGGACAGAGAGAGCGAGGGGGGATGAAACTCTCTTCTTGGATCATTGCCCCTTGTTTGCATTTTCACTTTCTTTTCCGTCCTCAACTGTTTGTCTGTGGGCACTTAAAGGTGCAAAGAGGCCATTGGCCCCACCCCCTGCCGTCCATGTGACTTGGTGGTAGCTGCACAGGGTGAAACTTCTTGGTTTCTGTGCAGACCATTTTTTCCTCTCCTTGCAGCTCTGCAGAGAACAGTGACACTATCTTTGCTGCCTCAACCATGGACATACGTGTTTTCAAGGTGGTGCAGCTAACCTTGGCCTGGGGTGAGTCGTACCTTCTACAATCCTAGTGTACGGTGCAACGTACCTGCAGGTCATTGCAAGCTTGTGCATTAGGAAAACTGTACAGATTGGTACATGGAAAGCAATTCTGCTGATAGAAATAACTCCGTTAGTATATTCTCATTGCTAAGAAATATGCTAGGAAATGAGTGTATTTTAATGACTGCGGGTGTTGCATTGTTCTGAGTTTTCACTCTATATTTTTTCCCTTGTACTTCATCTTGCAAGTAAAAGAATCCTCAAGCAAATCAACAGAGCTCGCAAGAAATCTTGAGACCGATTAAAAAATAATAATAAACCAGGAGAGTGAAGTGCCTGAAGTGAATAGGAAGTCATTTATCTACACACTGCTAAAGCAGAATGATATGAAGATTTTCATAATGAACTGGGGAGCTAGAGAAAAGGGAGGGTGCAGTATTATTGAGAGCACATGGGTTTCAGCTAAGAAAGTCCACGTAGACATTTAAAAGGTAGATCTTCCACTAGTGTGAATCAGCATCACTTCAGGGCAGCCAGTGGAAGTACCTCGCTCTAGGATCTGCCTCAAAATGTGGAGGCATCCCAAAATAGCCACACAAATATAAAATGTTATCCAGTAAGGAAATGTGGGAGGCCATTTAATAAGTGACTAATGGCAAAAAGCTCTGAATCTGCTGGCATGACAGTAGTTCTGTGCAGTTTTAGCATTTAATATGTAGGAGCCACATATGTATTCAGTCAACCGCCCTCTTCCTCCTGACAGTCCTGGACCAGCGTTACATACAGATCTACACTGAGCAGGAGAAGGGTGGGACTAGATTTACAAACGGCACCCTGAGGATTGTGCATAAAGGCAAACTTGGTGTCTCGGTGTGTATCTGCAGTCTACTGAAGTCTACCGCAGTAGCTCTGAATTTATGCTGTCATAACGTTTAACTAGAATTAGACAGGGGAAGTTTAAATGAACTGTGGCCAGCCACGGTGGCTTTTATGCGAGCAGTTAGTTATTTCCTTTAGAAAGTCAGTCTGCATCTTTCAGAAGCACACAGAGAAAAATGTCCAAATTAATGTGGAAAGCAAGGTGGGGCTCAGTGCTCTCTTTTATTGGATTGACTAGATAGGAGAGATGTTAGACAGGTCTGAGAAAGAAGCCTAAGGTCAATCAATGCCTTATGTTTAACTTTGCGGGGGGGGATGCGTGTGTATCTGTATATGTAAATACTAAATACTTCCCTCCGTGGCGGCGGTGCACCCTGGGCAGCACCGGGACCCCCCCACAGCTTAGGGCCTGCCACCAGCTGCCCCCCCCCGCAACCACGGGAGAGTCGGGCAGGCCCCGGAGCAGTCTGATTGGCTGTTTTAGTAAGCATTGTGATTGGCTGCCAAGACAACCAGAGTGCTTTGGACAGACCGAATAAGCCTATTATTATTATTAGAGATATGTTGGAAAGGCACAAAAGCTAGTGTTAAGGCCTGATACAAGCCTTGAATTCCCAGAAACTCCCCACTTCTGTTGGCACCAGATCAAGGCCTTAAAAAACCCTGTGACGTGAAGTACTTCCTGATGGCTTTGATCCAAAGCCCATTTGAGTTGCAGGTAAGCTTCCTCTTGGGATCAACTTTTTGATAGGGACTACCAGTAGGTCCATCCCATAAAAGCAGCCACTTGGGAGTGCATAGGAAGGGCACACACCAAGTAGCTGGGGTCTTTATGTATCTGCAATGGGGAAGAGATTTGCATGAGAGAGGGAGAAATTATATTGGCCACTTTCTTTATCACCCTGTCTCATTGCCCCAATTACTCTGAAAAAGGGCGTTTCTGTTTCTTGACAACCAGGGGCCAGACGATTATAGCAGTTTGCTCAGGTATCAGATGGCAAATAAGCCTCATATTGTCATGAGGCCTCTTAAGAAAACACTGCTTTAATTCATAATAATAAGAGGTAGCACTTCTGACGTACTTTTTTTTACCGTAGCCTCTTGAAGGGCTGAGCAAGTGTTATGGCCCCTGGGAACCTGGATTGTCTGCACGCTACAGATGGGGAACCTGTTGTGCAGAGGAGGGAAGGGCTCCTCCACCCTACGCCCACGAGGCTGCGAGGGGAGAGCTTCTCAGAAACAGTGCAGGCTTGCAGAGCTAAGGGGACGGGTTAACGGTTAGGGTTGGCCTAACTCCTGCCCAACAGGCTGACTCAAAAGTGCAACCTCAAGGTGGCGAGATCTTCCCCTTGCTGCTCTTTGGGGGCAGCTCCATTCCAGGTTGGGGTCAACACACCCCGTCTCACCTCCGAGGGGTGCTGCCTTGTTCACTTGCCCGAGGTTGCACCATGAACTACCCCCAAGGCCCCTCGGACCCCCCAGCCCAGGTCTGCCCTGCACCATCCCCTGCCCCAAAACTCCTGGAGCTGCTGTCCTGCTCCCTACTGTAGGGCCAGCTTCCCTCAGTGTCCCTGTCACTGGAGCAGGGTGTCACGTGCTGCCCATGGAAGCTGACGGAGACACGATGAACCTCAATGATGGGCTGGATAAGACCATATCAAGGCCTGGGAGCCATCTCTACAACTATGGGGTGTTGTCATCAAGAAGCGCAGTCTCAGCGCTACCCAAGTGTTGCCCAATTCCTGCTAAAATTCATGGACACCGAGCATCTCAATTCCCCCGATGGCTTTGACCATCTCAGCCAGAATCTGTGTCCATGTCTGTGGTCACTGAGGTCTGAAAATGGGGATCTCTTTTCTTTTTGTCAGTTTTATTTATTAATCAATCCAACTTATCCAGGAACAAGTTGAGCATTTCAACATACAGCCAACCCGCTAGGACACACTTTAAAAAAAGATCATTTTCTTTCCCCAACAGCACTCCCTGAACCCAAGTCAGGATCCGGAGAGGCTTGTGTTGAAAATGGGGATTTCTAACCACAATGACTAAAGGGGAACTTTGAAAGCTTAGTAGATCCTTTGATTTGAAATTCACTCTGAAATGTTATTATATGTGAATGGATTAGGATCATAGGAAACAAGGGCTGGAAGAGACTTCCCAAGGTCATCTTCCCAAGGCCCCCTCCTCAAGGCAGGATTGTCTGTGACTAAACCATTGCACTCAGTGTCTGTCCAACCTGCTTTAGAAAATTTCCATGGGTGGAGATTCCTCACTTTCTCTAGGTAGCCCGCTCCAATGCTCGACCACGCTTATAGCCAGAAAGTTCCTCCTAATCGCCAACCTACATTCCTCTGCTACATCCAGAGGGCATTGTTGCTAGCCCTGTCCTGTATCAACACAGAGAAAAGCCCATCTCCATCCTCTCTATAATCGCCCTTCAGGTAACTGAAGACTGTTATCAAATCTCCCCTCAGCCTTCTCTTCTCTAGACTAAATAACCCTAGCTCTTTCAGCCTTTCATCATAAGTCTTGCCTCCCAAGCTCCTAAACCTTTGTGTTGCCCTGCACTCAGCACCGTACCTAGACTCCTGGCAGTGCCGGGCGAACTTTTAGTATCCGGCCCCCCTTCACCAGAGATGATGATAATACTAATTATTATTTTCATCATTTTCGGGCCTCTGTCCAGTTCGCCCATGCCTGTGTCTGGCCCTGCCTGCACTGGGCTCTCCAATCTGTCCACATCCTTCTTGAAGTGTGGGGATGGCAGGAAAACAATGTTGTTCTCAGGACTTAGAGCACCACTGGAGGCCTAGAGTAGCTCAGGTAATGGGAAAGGCAGTCTGTAGTAGAAACAGGTCCTGACAGGGAGTAGGAGTCCCTAAAGTAGCAGTGTAACATTCCTGTAAAGCTTTGAAATATCCTGTTTAGTAAAATGAGACTGAGGAGAGTGAAAGGAAACTTGGAGCTTGAGTCATCATTGTCCTACAGCCTCAGGCATGATCCTACCTGTTACGGGGGCTCTAGGTGGGGTGGCCATCATAGAGGACAGTCCGGTTTTCTGCTACTCTGTCCTCTGTGCTCTATTGATACGAAACCCGATGCCGTTATGTCCTCTATTTTTCTGGACATAAAGGCGTCCAGTTTTGTATCAATAGAGGACAGAGGACAACTGGACTGTCCTTTCTGATGGCTACCCTAGCTAGAGATTTCTATGGGGGCTCTAAGGTTTCCGTCAGCCAGCTTTGCATTCCTCCTGCAGGACACCTGGGAGCAAACGTGAATCAGGGATGTCTCAGGGGCAGGCTGGGTCTTGTCTTAGGAGAGAAGCAGGTGAGTGAGGTACCCAGCTTCCCTGTAATGGATGGCCCCTTCCAGGGCATTGGCTTGGCTAGGACAGGCCCAGAGAGTGCGTTGAGACCACATCTGCAGAACTGTCCCTGCAAACATCTGTGTATGTTTGCAGGGGCGAGACCCACTCGAGCAAATGCCTTCTGGTAAGATGGACCAGGCCACCTGGATGGTGTGTGAAGGGCAGCTGTGTTCTGCCAGGAAGGTGGGGAAAGGCCATGGGTGTTATGTCAGCAGAGTCATTTTTGCTAATACCTAGACAAGGAACAAAACGGCAGCTGTTAAATGACACACACATAATGCGACTTCAGTGGGGTTGGTGGAAGACATTTTAAAAGTTTTCTTTAATAAAAAAACTATGTTTTTTGCAACAGTGGCATTTATTTCCAAAACCGACTACTTGAAATACTTCATTTCTCATGAAGAATCCTCTTACTTTTTCTTGAGTTATACATTGAAAACACCATTCAAAATGTGGCTGAAACTGATTTACATACCCAAAACAGAGAAGTACCGAGCTCTTGCTATGACTTCTCAGCCCAAGTTCATTTAAATTTAAGGCTGTTTCACAACCCTAAAGGAAAACGTAGCCTTAGCTTACAGTTTCCTCTTTTCTGTCCTGCTGAGCTGCTGCATCAGTGTACAAGAGTTAGTGACAGAATAAAACAATTGTAGAGACTCTTTCACTAACCATAAAAAGCCTGACCAGAAGGAAGGGAGATAATGGACCTGCTGGACGGGCTGAGCTAAATTAAAGGCAAGGAAAGTCTCTGCTGAAAAGATGCATTTAAAATACGGTCTTAATTATGGCATAGTTGGGGTTCTCCTAATAAAAACATATGTCATCTCGGAGTTCAGTTACATTACCTTCCTGTGGCGTTTCTATTGCCTTGAATTCTACTTTTGTATTATATTGAGAGAGCTACAGTAAAACATATTTCATTAGATTGGAATGAAAACAGGCCAAGTTCACATAACATATAAATCTAGGATGTGCAATCCGCACTACCACTCTTCCCTGCAATTGCTATTTGCGGTATTGGAGTGCAGTTTGCAGACCCACGTATCCGTACAAATCAAGAAAAAAAGTAAGAGAATTCTTCACAGAAAATGACACATTTGGATGTGGTCAGTCAGTTTGGGAAATAAGTGCTCCTGTGGCAAAAATGTAATTTTTTTTTTCTGATGAAACATCTTTTCTTTAGAAAAATGTGTCATCCGTAGATGTCTCACCCACATGTCTTCTAAGGCCCAGCCTGCCCTTGAAATACCCATGCCTATGGTTTTGGTTGCTGGTTAGATTTAGATTCATGCACAACCGGGGCTTGTTTTCTGAATCCAATTTGAATGTAGCCTCAGATGGTAGAAATGCACAAGACCAGCAGGTGTTGCAAAAGCTCTGCCATTTTGGGGCAAAAAATTCTCATGAGAGTGGCTTCTTAGATTCTGGCACCATTGAATCAAACCTTCCTTGATACCCCTGATTCAGCCTAGAATCGGAGCCCCCAGTCCCATCCTCTCCTTACGATGCCCCCGATAGCCCCTTGGAGACGACTTATTTCAAGAAATTGTCCGAGACCCACATCACACACTTCAGACTGCACTTTTCTACTTGTTATCATAGAAAATGAAGGTGGAAGGGACCTCAGGAGGTCACGTCTAGTCCAAACCCCTGCTCCAAGCAGGACCAGCCCCAACTACATCATCCCAGCCAAAGCTTGGTCTAGCCAGGTCTTAAAAACCTCCAAGATGGAGCTTCTACCACCTCTCTGGGTCACCTGTTTCAGTATTTGACTGCCCTCCTAGTGAGAAAATTCTTCTTAACATCTAACCTATCCCCTCCTAATATCTAACTTGCCCCCTTTTGAATGTTTTTTCTCGTGAATGTTTTTATTTTTGCAGCCAAAGAGGCATATAACATCATGATTTGAACTCTTTTCTCCTTAAAAAGAGCTGAACTAGGGGCTGGTGCTTCCTGGTTTAGAATAGCCCCTTTGGCCATGCCTCTTTGCAACCCTCTCCCTTGAAAGAGCCTGTGGCCAGGACCGGTGTTTTCACACATTCTTAGAGTGTAGTTGCTCACAAAAAATCTCGCCTGCTATATTGGGACTGGACTGAACCTCTCCCACCTCATCCTCTGCCCAGCGCCACCCTGTTTAGCAGTAAAAGGAGTGTGTTGGGAACAGAGAGGCAGTATAATTGGGACCCCAGCTTACACGTTGTGTCTGCTGGGCCCCAGAACTGGTTAGGACATGGCTGTATATTAGTTTCACAATTGATCTGGCCACATGTACTTTGTGAGATGAGTCTTGAACAGAGGTCCCAGGCTATAGGGATGAAGTGAACACTTTCTACTGTCCTTGGCTAGCTGGAACAAGGCTTCCCTGCCCCAACACACATAGCTACACAAGCGCATGTGCATGCTCAAGCTAAGGAACGTTTTTTAAGCCCCCGTCCCCACAGAGGACTGTGGTACTTGGGACAGGTCAACAGTTACGTGGAACATCATGGATATACTAGAGTTGATGCTGGCTTCACACTGCAGCCAGGATACTGTAAAACTAAGAGGAAGATACAGTCCCTTCTCCCTAATGCTCTCCGTCTAAATGAGGTGGATATTGTAATACATTTGCCAAATGCTAAATTAACCTACCACTGGGCTATCAGGGACATCCAGGCCAAGCACTTGCCAGGTCCAGAAGGAGCTGCCTTGAACATTTAGTTCAGCCTCCCATCTCTCTTTCCCCAACAGCTGCTGTCTGCGGCGGTCTGCAGCAGGAGGGCTTGGCTCCCAGGCCCCAAGGCTTCTTCCCCCCCAAAGCAGCCAGCAACAGTTGCAGCCAAGGGGACAGTAAATCCAGGCCCCTCAATACTTCCAACAACCTGTTTGCAAGCACCAAAAACCTACATGAGGCTTGTGACAAAGAGTTGTCATTAGACTAAGTTCATTCTGACCCCTTCAAAATGATCCCCATAGGTTATCTCATGCCACAAAAATTAATTACCTGACATCAGTCTAAGTTGTGTTCCTGTTACCCAGAAGTAGGAGATAGTTAATGACCCTCATTACTGCCCAAACTTTCTATCCAAATGCAGCTAATCATGTAACCACCCCAACTTAGGAAAGCGTCTGAGATCACTGAGCAATTATGAACATCCATACCTCCCACTGACTTTTTCCTCTTTTTAGCAAACACCTGGGGTATGAGTTCAATTAAATCTATCACCACCCTACTGAATCGGTCCTGCAGGGAGCAAATCAGGAAAGCCAAGGCTGCGACTGAGCTCCAACTAGCTTCGAGTATCAAGGACAATAAAAAGTCCTTTTTCAGATATGTGGGGAGCCAGAGGAAAAGCAAGGGCAACACTGGACCCCTGCTAAATCAGATGGGAAAACTAACAACTGACGTCCAGGAAAAAGCCAACCTATTAAATGGGTACTTTGCATCGGTCTTTCATCAGTCCCATGAGACGCCCATGCCCGCTACGGGACAGGGAGGTCCGGGTGAGGGAGATCCCCTGCCTGCCATCAATGCTGACCTCATGAAGGAACACCTTGAGAGGCTGGACACCTTCAAGTCAGCCAGCCCTGACGGTTTACACCCCAGGGTACTCAAGGAGCTGGCGAGCATCATAGCTCAGCCCCTGGCACAGATCTTTGAGATCTCCTGGTGCTCTGGTGAAGTGCCCGAAGACTAGAAGACGGCCAACGTGGTGACTATCTTCAAGAAAGGGAGGAAAGTGGATCCGGCAAACTATAGGCCCATCAGCCTGACCTCTATCCCGAAGGAGGTCTTAGAAAGGTTTATTAAAGAGGCCATCCTTAATGGGCTGGCTGACACTAACATCCCGAGGGATAGCCAGCACAGGTTTGTTGCGGGTAGGTCTTGCTTGACCAATCTCATTTCCTTCTACGACCAGGTGACCTATCACCTGGACAAGGGAGAGGAGATTGATGTCATATATCTTGACTTCAAAAAAGCCTTCGATCTGGTGTCCCATGATCGCCTCTTGGAGAAACTGGCCAATTGTCGCCTTGGGTCCTCCACGATCCACTGGCTGGAAAATTGGCTCCGGGGTCGGACCCAGAGGGTAGTAATCGATGGAAGTCACTCATCGTGGTGTCCTGTGACCAGTGGGGTCCCCCAAGGCTCTGTCCTTGGACCCATACTGTTCAACATCTTCATTAATGATGTGGACACTGGAGTCAGAAGCGGACTGGCCAAGTTCGCCGATGACACCAAACTTTGGGGCAAAGCATCCACACCAGAAGACAGGCAGGTTATCCAGGCTGACCTGGACAGGCTCAGCAAGTGGGCGGACGAGAATCTGATGGTGTTCAACGCCGATAAATGCAAGGTTCTCCACCTTGGGAAAAAAAACCCGCAGCATCCTTATAGGCTCGGCAGTGCTATGTTGGCTAGCACTATGGAAGAAAGAGACTTGGGGGTCATCATTGACCACAAGATGAACATGAGCCTGCAATGCGATGCGGCGGCTAGTAAAGCGACCAAAACGCTGGCTTGCATCCATAGATGCTTCTCAAGCAATGTCATTTTCCCGTTGCACTCGGCCTTGGTGAGGCTGCAGCTGGAGGACTGTGTCCAGTTTTGGGCCCCACAATTCAAAAAGGATGTGGAGAAGCTTGAGAGAGTCCAGAGAAGAGCCACGCGCATGATCAGAGGTCCAGAACACAGACCTTACGACGACAGGCTGAGAGCTATGGGGCTCTTTAGCCTGGAAAAGTGCAGGCTCAGGGGCAATCTGGTGGCCACCTTTAAGTTTATCAGGGGTGACCACCAGTATCTGGGGGAACGTTTGTTCACCAGAGCGCCCCAAGGGATGACGAGGTCGAACGGTTATAAACTCCTGCAAGACAGTTTCAGGCTGGACATAAGGAAGAACTTCTTTACTGTCCGAGCCCCCAAGGTCTGGAATAGCTTGCCATCGGAGGTGGTTCAAGCACCTACATTCAACACCTTCAAGAGAAATCTGGATGTTTATCTTGCTGGGATCCTATGACCCCAGCTAGCTTCCTGCCCCTGGGGCAGGGGGCTGGACTCGAAGATCTTCCAAGGTCCCTTCCAGCCCGAATGTCTATGAAATCTATGAATAAGATAAAACACCCAGCTTTTCAGCTGAGTAATATGCCACCAGCATATTTATGCCTCTGGGAGTTTATTTTGGCATTTCTGTGCCAGCCTTTCAAACCAAACTTCCCCATGTGCCAAGCTGCAAAAGTCTCGAGGCACTGTGCTATCTCTAGGGGAAGTATGTGTATTGTAATAAAATTATTCTTTAATATGAATTGTTCTACAGAATGGCGGATCTGCTTCTTGCATTATTAATAGGATTGGGAAGGGAATAAAATAATTACATTTTCGTATTACAAAATCAATTGGATGATAACATAGGTGTCAATAGCAATGAAAGTTGCTAGTTTAATGATCTTTTTGCTTCTCTGTAGCATTGTTATCCGGCCACGATGCTGTGATGGCTACCGAGCCGGGGGTCAAACCAGCTTTCCTACGTGGAACTCAGCCATCCTCCCATCATCAGTCTTCCACTGATGCCAGCAACACGCTTCTCTCTAGCAGCACAGGTTTAATGACAACCACACTGCTAAGAACAACAGCAAAACAGGAACAGACTGCCACGCAAATAGCGAACCATCAGCTGGTAACAACAGCATCAGCACTCAACACGATGACTGATGGAAGAGCTAATGTCACCCAGTTGACCAACCAGACAACTCACGCTATATTAACTACAGATAAGAACACGACTGCAATGGCCAACCAAACTGTGAGTCACGCAGTAAATATTACAGCAGCATCCAAGATAACTTTAAAGACAACCCCAAAGTCAACTAATCAAACAACAACTCACAAAACAACAAAAACTACAGCCACAACCAAGAAAACCACTGGTCACCCAAGAACCCAAGTCACTACGCCTGCAACTACAACTGCTGTACCGCCTACCCTTGCTCCTCACCCATCACCACCCCAGACTGGAAATTACAGTGTCACTGATGGAGAAATGACCTGTGTGCTAGCAGTGATGGGACTGGGGCTGATCGTCCACAATACGGTGAAGGTAAGCTGCAATACTCCTAAGTGCCAAACAGCTACATGAGGCTTGTTGCAACGTGTCTCCATTAGTTTGATTTTTGTTCTAACCCCTTCAAAATGATCCCCATTGGTTAAGGTTGTAAAATTAATTATGCAATATCCATCTAAGTGGTGTTCCCGTTCCCTAGAATTGGATGCTAGTTAATGACACTCGTTACCACCTGAGCTGACAGAATGACTCATTTGACTGACCTACACAACAGAGATGTTTTATTATGTCCTCATATAGTTAAGTTGAAGCTAGTGAACCATATGTTCTCTGCCTTGGAGGATCCAAATCAGATGAGAATCTGGGGCTTGGAAATGAAGTTAGAGGCAAAACCACAGTACCTCTAGAGATGAAGGCCATGCTAACATGAGGAACAAGAAATTAGACTTAGCAGTGAAGCCCAAGTCTCTTGCACTGTTGCCAGCTATTGATGCAACCACACAGGGTGCCTATACATGTGCTCTGATGCGTTCTAATTAGAACCCATTGGAGCAAACTCAATCAATCTAAAACTCTAGCATAGCCACAGCATCACATCTATAAGTCACCACAGGTTTAAAAATGGCCACCGGGATGCTTTGACTAAAGCTCGTTGAATGAGCTTTAGTTAAAGCATCCCACTTCCATTTTTTAACATGCAGGGGCTTAATACATATGACGCAGTGGTGTTTTAATTAGAATGGTTCTCCAGGAACCCCTCTAATTAAAACGTCCCCCTCCCCCACTCCCAAACACATGCATAGGCACCCATAGATTTAGAAAACACTTAAATGTCTTTCTTTCTTTCTTTTTTTCTTCACAGAGGGATGTGGGCTACTTCAATATTGATCCTAACATGACTCAAATATCTGGAACCTGTGTAATGGAGGAGTCAGTGATAACCATATCATTTAATGGAGGGACAATACGCTTCACCTTCTTAAAGGTAATTGGTCCGTTCTTGTTTTTTACAGAGAGGCAGACTGGGGAAGGCAGGATTTGGGACTCCTGGGTTCTCTTCCTAACAAACGCTCTGACAAGCTGCATGCCCGGGGCCAAGTCATTTCAGCTTATTGTTCCTCAGTTTCGTGATACATAAGAAGAAAGATAGTTCCCTCCCTCATGGGGAACTCTGGTGTTAAATGGCTTTGTATTAGTAAAGTGCTCAGTGATCCTCCAATAGAAGATGCTAGAGAAGGGCAAAGCAGCACCTGTTATAAAAGGAGGTCACTCAGCATATGCTAAGCTAAGACTAGAGCTGGGCCCCCACTGAAAAACTGAGGTCTGGATTCAGCACTGCTCAAAATCCGAGATGGCTTAGGTTTGGCTTTTTGATCTGGCCCACTATAAAAAATGAAGGTTTGGCGGTTTGGGGAAGTGACCTCTCTGCAACTTATAAATTACGGTTATGAAATTGCTGCATTATGCCCTGCCTCCACGCACATGGATCCAGCCATTGTCTGTCACCGTCAGAGCATGTCTCTGCCAGACCAGACGAGTGGTGGGCGTTATACCACAGTGGGAATCCATTCAGGTGGAATCCCCTTTGGGACAGTTGAGGTGGCTGGAGCTGGGGAAAGCTACTTTCTCCACCTTCTTCGCGAAAAGTTCAGGGTGGAAAATACCCAGCCACAGAGCAAAGGGAGCAAGGCAGTGGTTCTCAACCGCATTAGACTCGAGGCACTCTTCGTTAGATGCAAGGCACCCCTTAGAAAATAGTAGCTCTTAGTGCATGTGTACATGGTGATGCCATTATGTAGGTGGGTTTCCGTCACTTTTCGTCATGTCTACATGGTCAAATCATCATGTGCACAAACGCCCTTAGTTTTCACTTGTTTTTGGCTACAGAAGAATCCTGGAGCAATCGTTCTCTTGTAAAGGACTCGGAAAGACCACGACAGGGCAGAATGGTTTGAACACTATGGGCTCCTGTTTGAAATCTCTTCTGGGTGTATCTTGTGAATCATTTTGCACACCTAACAGTGCTAAATGCCTTGCACCCTGGTTGAGAATCACTGAACTAAGGTATTGGTGACAGCCTTTACAAACCTCAAGGCTGGGAGACGCAGGGAGCCTTATGGAGACACACAGGAAGCTCGGCCAGAGAGAGAGGCATGTTTTTGTAGTGCTGGGGGAATGAATCGGAGTTTAACTTGCGGGTGTGTCTATACTGGAGTCAGTGCTATGACAGCAGCTTATGGTGATATTGCTGGGCTGGCACTGTGCTCGCTAGCTTGGCTGCTGCTGTAATCACAGTAGCTGAGAGCTCAGCATGAGCTGCCTGAGCATTTACCCCCCTCCTCATCTGGGTTTTGCATCCTGTGCAAGGCTTGGTGCCGTTGTGGATGGCTTCAGCCACGAGGAAACCCCCCAGATCAACTTCCCTGCTGCACTTACAGCAGGGGTGGGTAGGACATGCTTGAGGGCATCCACACCAAATCCGATGTGAAACCTGCTTCTCCCAAGACAGGATACCTTGAGAAAGGCCCTTCTGCACTGCATAGGCCTGGTCCTGCTGGACCCCTGCTAACCACAATAGCAGTAAGGAGCACACACGGAGTTAATCATCCACCTTTAGACAAAAAGCCAGACCTGTAGATAGAGTACATTGACAGGAGTCTGCTGAAGTCAATGAAGCAGCTCCTATTTACACCCCTGAGTCGTGGAGTAATGTGAAAATAGCAGCTGGTGGTCAGGGAACATCTCTCCTAATTTAATGGAGCAAAGTCTCTGGGAACTGCAGAGAAAAATGTGAGCTGGGAATGTACTGAGGATCTGAGTTCAAAATAAAAGGTCAGGTATATATTTTAAGTGTTTGATTTGGATGTGAGCTTGTTGCATGAAGAGAGCAGCATTTACCTACTTTTCAAGACTCCTTAAAGCTAGGCTGGTGATTCAAGTACTCATAAGTACCAGCAGTAGCACTGAGGAGACTAATAAATCTCTATGAGTTACTCCTGCTCTCAGCCCCAGAACAATGTGATTAATAGCACAGCATTATGCAATTCATCCTTTGCTTAACGATAAGCTTCATGAGAATCAGGGCTTTGAAGTTCTTTGAAATCTGAGCTAATAGGAACTCAATTTGCTATGGTTTTAGCCGGGTATCTTCAACCTTCAGAATAACAAGGCCTGATTCTGGTCTCACGGATACTGGTTTTACACTGGTATAACTCCCTGACTTGCTCCTGCTTTACATCATTGTGAAGGAAAGCCGAATTTGGCCTTTGCTCCTCTGCCTGCCATGCCGTGAAGCGATGACTGGTACGTAAGTGGCTGCCTCGGTGTGCCCACCTCCAGCTGTCCTTGCACGCAGCTTGAGAAGAGGAAGTTCTGTAACAAATCCGCAGGCCGATAAGTAGGAGCAGGTGTTTTGTTCCCCAAAGCAAAATTGTTTTCAGTTGCATCTGGCCAGAATTCAGCATTGCTAATGGAAATGGCAGCGGTCTGGAACCCCCTTCAGAAGCAGTACTGAGATCTGCTTCTCAGCGAGATCAAGTGACACTCCAGCTGTTGCACTCTGACATTGTGCAAGTCATTTGTCCTTTCTGTACCTGCATCTGCCAAACAGCTCTAATAGCTTGCACACAGGGGTGTGATAGGGATTAAATGACACCTGTAAAGGGCTTCTGGGATCTTTCGCAGAAGAGATGAATATCTTTTGTGCTACAGAAGGCGCAGACTAGCTTTACAATGTCTTTCCTCTTTTTCGGACTTTGGTATTTCCCAAATTTTCTCATGAGATTGTTGAAAGCCATGAGCTTAAAAACTCTTCTGACTGGTATAGAAAGGGGATGCACAGAGGATGTGGAAGATGAGAATAGCTGTTTTCCACCAGTCGAACCAGACCAGTCCTTCCATGCACAGAGCTGCATATGAAACCACTGATAAATCTGCCTTGCAGCAGGGCTGCAAGGTGAAGCTCAGATTCTCAACGCAAAATTCATCACAACCTTGGGAAAAGCCTCATGAGATGCCATCGCCTCGAAGGTCTGACAGGGTAGCAATCAAAGGCTCCTAATCCTCCAAGCTGCACTGCCATATCCAGGGAATGTGTGTCATGTGCCTTTTACCCAGGAGCACTTAGCAACCATTTCCTCTCTTGTTATGTGCTACCTGGACAGGACAGATGTACTCTCTCCTCCTGGTGGAATGGCACTTCCAGAGAGGAAATGGTTTCAGACCACCTCCTGTCCAAGGCATCCAGGAGCTGCTGCTGGGTTAGTGAAACCGGAGCTTGTCCCTTAAAACCATTGTTCAGCCCGTGAATACTCCATACACACCATAGCTAACTTTAAAATAAGTTGATGTAGGTGCCAGAAGCAATCAAGATGCTGCTATGTGGTGCTAATTTAGTGCAGACAAACTCAAGGGAGCTCAGTGGAGATTCTCCCTACAAACATGAAAGCAGAACACAATGATGGAAAATGAAAGGCTTCCATCTAGTGTTTATGGATTCCCCCCACCCATGTGCTGTTACCACAAATGACAAAGAAACTCATGGCTTGCAACCACGTCCAGCACCTGCAGAAATGCATCTGCATGATCCGGTTCAACTGAACTGAGCATTAGGTGCAGCACATCCAGCAGTACAACAAGGTGCCTGCACCTGGCTCCAGCAGCGGATTGTCTGTACCGTGTGGAGCGATCAAAATAACTTGCCTGAGCGCCCCAATTCTCAGGACATGATGGGGCAGTTTCTGCTAAGTCCCCGTTGTGGATAACTGTGATATTTTACCCTGCCCCCCACCCCATACCTTTGCTTTTCCTCACTTACCTTATTTGATCTGTTCACAACTCACTTGGTCTTATCAAATTTGTGCTATCAGCTCTTCCTGGCAGGGACCACTCATCTAATTTTCAACAGGTGTAAATCAGCACAATTGGGCTCTGCTGTTTTACACCAGTGTAGATCCTGGCCCTTCACCCCTATTTATTTTCTAACAGCATCTGGAACATTGGTGTGTTTAGGGAAAAATTATTAATGCTCTCAGAGATAGACAGGACAGTGAGGGATTTGCTGTTCTTTTATAAAATACCTGACTTGTTTTGGATAACTCTTCTCTGTGCCCTCTATTTGTCCCCTTTGCTGTAGGACTTTGCCCTGCAGCCGACCAGTATATTCCACAACTGTAAAGATACAAGAGCAGCAGAAGAGATTAATTTAATGTATTTACTCAATTCCAAGACGAGGTTTTCCCCCCACAATTGGCATGGAGGGAAAAGCCCCTCATCTTATAATTGCATAAAAGGAAATCTCAGTACATACATTATCTGTCATTAAACTGCTGCCCAAAGCAGCATGTGCTGAGCAACGGCAACCAACTATGAAGCTGATTAAATGCAGCCAACACTGAGCATGACTATAAAACACATGGCCCCCGCTGGGCAAATATACTGATGGGAATCCTTTTTTTTTGGTAGGCATCCTACATGCAAGCCCCAGCCCCAGAAACCTTGGCCTTTGTAAACACACCTTTACAGTTACACCATCCTCATTCCTGTAGGAATGACCATACTTTGCACCCGTGCTCCCACGCATCCATCTCCTTCCTCTTTAGCCATCACGAACATGCAAGAGAACCGCCTCCACATTTCCTTCCAAAAACAAGTACAGTATAGGGTTAGGCCTGTCCTTTGCACTCTGGGCAGGATGACCTCTGTGAGTCTCCTCAAATGTGGGGATCTCAACTGCACAACTTTGCAGCGAAGGGGGACTATTTTCACGCTTTCCCCCTAGCTTGTTCCTCGGCCTTTTGGCTAAAAGCAAGTGAGACTATGGGGCATCCGAACTCTCCGGCTTTCAGGCCTGGGGCTTGCATGTAGGTTGCTTGCTGTGGATTTGAGGAGTATCTGATGGGCTCCTGGGTCTGGGAGGGAGGATACTTGCCCGGCAGTAGAGTGACACAGACTTGATGACTGAGCTCAGTTCAGTCAGACTTGACTCTTGGGCTTCCCCGAAGTGAATTTGGAGTTTGGACCTGATTTTGCCCTAGTTTGTTCTAGATATAAGTAGGTGCCAACATGCTGCTCAAAAGTGTGTTTATGAAACACCTATGCTAAAACTTGCAGGCATTTCAAAAAAGGTAACATGCATCAATTTTGGATTAACTAAGACTACAGGTACTGTATGCAAATTGCTACAGCCAGGGTCTGACAGTAAGGAGAGGGGGGAAGTTGTGGGGAAGCAGAGACCAAAGAGCTATCTGATCCTCCAGATTCATTTTCCCTGCTGTAGCAGTGAAAAGGGGACAAATTCAAGGCAAACCACCAATAATTAGATTCCATACCTGGAAAATTGTAACAGATTTATAAATTTTCTCTATATAGAATCTAATTATTAGGGGTCTCTTATAACCAGGGTTATTTTCTGTTTGAGTATAATATGGCATTTCTCTTGCAGAAAGATCCAGAATATTATGTCAGTGAACTTGAGGCCAACTTAGAGATACCTAATGAAGGTAACAGCATGTGTTTAACATTCACAGCATCAATTTTGTTTAGCATTTATAATTCTTTTTTCATTTGTTTTCATTTTTTAAATATATTTGGGTTTGTAGTGAAATGTATGATTCTGAGGCTGATCTTAGTTTACCACAGCTTAAAGCAGTGATTTTTGCTGATGATTTAACTGTATTTTAGTCCTGCTTTCAATTTAGCCTCCATTTAACTCAGATGGTTTAAAAACCTGAGAGGCAACTAAGTTAATTTGTTGCAACTTTCTCTTCCCTCTTGTTTTCAGCTTATTTTCATACCACTCAGGTGTCCTTTGCTTCAGTCTAGAGAAGACCCCAAATCCAAATTCCACATTCAAAACTTTGTTCTACTTTGGGCAAGTTTTGTATTTGTGTGATTTTGTATCTGTTGTGACTTGAATCTAGTTGTCTTAATAGGCTAGGAACAGGTACAATCATAACAATTCAGATATGGATCCAATGATCAAACACCCTATCTGGCCTATTGGTCCTAAAACCACGGAGTACCCAAAGCAAGTCATTTGGAGACAGTGGACATGATTCGTCTTATGGATACTCCATTAACTTAAGTGAAACTCTTTCTAATAGCAAGAATAAGAGAAGCAGGCCCCAAAGGGCATGCTCACATAGACTCGTTCTCAATCCCAATTTTCAAAGCTGTTTCCTGTAAAGCAATGCATGTAACAGGTTGAAACTAGGCACTATGCCAACTGATTTGTAAATTATAAGCGTTTAGATGTGAACAGCTATCGCCTATTTCTTGAATCAAATGTGAGCCAAACTCTTTATAGGGCTCTGTAATGCTAGATGAGGTTCTGGTCACAAGCCAGTACCAGAAATGCCAAACTCCCATGAGAAAGCCAATCTTGGCTAGAAGTGGCAGTACTAGAGATGTAGCATGGAAGTTTGTTTCTGACATCTTTTTAACCCAATCTTGCAGACTCAAGGAGTCCAGATATGATTTAAAGAAGGGATACTTTGTGTGCTTTTTCAAACACAATTTGATGCTTGTCCTCCTGAGGGTTGGCCATCGGTAGTTAAGGCTGTTGTTTCTCTCTCTCTCTCCCTCTCATATATATAAAATCTTTGGAGCTGATGTTGCACTGTGATAAAAAGACAGTGTCCTACTTTCAGTCATAGAAGTGGCTGAGGCCCTGTCACAGTGCTGTGAAAGGGTCTTCAGAAGTGTCATCATTCACTCGCAGAAACAGGTCCTTACTGTGTATTCCTTTTCCATGTCTCTCTCTCTCTGACCTCTAGGTTCGTGGAAGAAGATAATTATAAAGCCCATGTTTACAACTAAACTGGGGGATTCCTTCAAGTGTCTCAGCAAACAGACAGTGGACTTGGAGAACCACTTCCAGCTGATCATTGTTAACATGCAACTACAAGCTTTCAAAATTGTTGGTAACACGTTTGGGAAAGGTATGGATGAGAGCTGTCTTCTCCATGCTTGGTTTTGGCTCTAGGATCCCATCCACCACAGAGCAACCTTTCTAGCTTTTAATGCAGCATAAAGTGTCTTGCCTCACTGCTGGGTGGCAGGCTGAAAACGTGGTGATCCTGTTCTGTATACGTGGAAAATGGTGTAACGTAATGGGTCTCCAAGACAGGGTGCTTCCCCAGTGCTTCCACCTGTCAGTTACTGGCTCCTTCCCAGTTGTAGTTCAATCCCTAGCCTGGTGGAGATGCCATAGGGAACAGAGGGACTCCTTTCTTTCACCTGAGATTTCCCTTCCTTCTTAAAAAAGTCACCACTCTTCATGCTGTCTTTTCTTGCTCTCCAATGCCACTGTAGATGTATTGGCAGCCATTAAAGCAGCTTTCTCCACCCCATTGTATGCAGAAAGAATTTCAAGGTCTCTGTCATCCAAGCTTTCTATGGGACTGGCCTGATCTTCTGTGGAGAACGCCTGTCTCTTGAAAATTATTTCCCACAACTCTCCTCTATTGGAGCAATGAAACTGGGGACACATCTGAGTGCAGAAGATGGAACATTTAGTTCAGCTTGATCTAGAGACAATGGAACTTGCGATTAGTAACGACACGGCCAGAATAGCCACCAGCCCTTCTGGGGTTAGAACTGACTGCAAAGCTCATCTCCGCTTCTTTTTCCCTGCCTAATTCCCTCTGGTATACAGGCGCAACAATCTAATCAAGCAGCCTAGTCATACCTGATGGGAAGGGGAAGGGCCATATATTTGCAGACCACAGATACAATCACAGATCAGTCCACCTCCAACACAACCCTGCGTTTCTGAGCGTATGACATTAATTTTCATAAGGCGATTCCGCCTCGGTACATAGGCACGCACTAGATCAGTGGTTCTCAGCCAGTGACCTGCAGAAATGCTGTGGGTGGGCTACAAGCATGGTTATAGGAGGGGATAGGCCAACCCTTGGAGAGTCCCAGCATTGTGCTTCTCTACATGCACTTTGTCCACTCCTGGAAGCAACAGAGCTACTGTGGGTAGAACTGTGATTAGCTGTGATGAAGGCACAACTCATTAGCCCAGGCATAGTGCCAGGTAGATACGGTCGTGCTGCTTCCATTTTAGAGCTATCCTATTTGTCTCTGCAACGTCCCTGGCAAGCAGGCTGGGGTGGAAGAGGGTTGTGTGATGGCAGGTGAGCCGTGGGGCAACAGAGGTGCTCCTGGGGCTGGGCATAGGCTGCAAGATCAAAAGGTTGAGAACCACTAGGCTTGATAATCTCCCAAGGCCCCTTCCAGCCCTACATTTTTGTAGTTATGTTTTAGGATGGTACCATACTAGAACCTCAGAAAATGGGATTTCTCATCCTTCCTGCCATTTTCACACACTAAGAAAGTATATCTTTTCCTTTTGCCCTCATCTTTCTACTTGCTCTGAAAACACTGCCTTCTCAGTGTTTCTTCCTCTTTGCAGCCTCTTTCTTTTTTTCCAGAGCCTGTTAAAATTAGACTGTTCTTCCTTTGTTAGTTCACCATTTTAGCTGCTCCTCCTTTCTCAGGGAGACTGGTACTTCTCATTCAGTTAAAAAAAGTAACTTAATGGGAAAGTGTGTGTGTGTTTGTGTGTGTGTGCAAGTATGCGTGAGTGTGTGTGTGTTGGCGCGCACGCACACACACACACACACACATGCGTGCGCGCGGAGGGTTTTTTCCTCCTGTGCAGATGTTTTAAGATTAAAAAAAAAATAAAAATCAGTAGATTTTGTAAGAATGAACTTGTGTTTGTTTGGATCTACGCCCCCTTTCTCAGGGAAAAAAAAGTCTTCCACGGGATAAAACAGCTGATGTGGCTCATAGCATTCAGTTGGAATCTAAATTCAGATTTTAATTTCCCCTAAAAGTGGAACTGTTTGCATCTAACCTCTGGTAGAGCCATGTTTCTAAGTGTCGTATGAGACCAGAGATTGCCTGAACAGGACACAGTCTACTAATCCAAAATGGAGTTACACTTGATGTGAGGCAAAAAGCTGAGAAGGCAGCTTTTATTGTGTTCAAAGGAATGCTCCAGTGGTCAAGAAACAGGATGAGAGACAGTGAGACATCCTGTAGATGCCAAATGAAAAAATCCACAGTAACAGCTGGTGCTTTGAAGCAGGCCTTCTCACATCAGGTCTCGGAGACACAGCAGTTTCACTTCTGTTGCTTCAGATTTGCTTATAAAAAAAAAAAGGAAGAAAGAAAACACCAGTGGCAATTTGATTTGAGGTTCTAATGGGCTTGCACACACTACAATGGCATTTCGCATCAGTGAGCCATTTAGCCTGCTTGGAGTTTGGAAACTCCTAGAAGTGGCTTCTAAATTGCATTTCCCTATAGTGGGAAAAGTTCTTGAAGCTCACAGACCACAGTTGGACCTAAAGCAGAGTTCCAGACCCAAGGCTATGGAACAGAGGAATGCAGACCACAGATGCATTTGCAGCTCAAGTCCATCTCCGACACAGCTCAGAATTCACCAAAGCTTTGTTCTGAGGATGGCAGCATTCAGCAGAATGTGGGTGCATCAGGCTTGTTCTGCAGGAAGCATCAGATAAAACCACAAGGCTGGTCCAGCAACAGGGTCTGGATTAGAAACAGATGCTGCAGCTATGCTGCAGTTACAGGGGAAGTCTTGCACTCCAGAAAATTCCCCAGGTTAACCACATTTGGCTACTGACAAGATCCCCTTTTGCTGAGATGCCCAAACCATACCATGCTTCACCACAGCTTGCAGCAATGTAGCAACTATTACCAGGAGGTTAAAAAGAGCTGGTCTTAAGAATAAAATGAACAGCATGGGTAGGAATCATTTGGGTGTGCTAATACTTCATGGTGTAGTAGTTGCTGTACATGTGTGTGGGCAGATATAACATTTGAAGCATTTCAGAGTGCAGCTGTGCTTCAGAAATGGAGTGTTTCAGTCACAGACAGCTTTGCTGTCCTGGCTGGAGTGCTTCAAAGTCACTGCAGCTGCACACAGCAGCATGCTTTCCAGTTCGGGGACATGGCAGGGGACTGTGATGACCTGTGGCTCTGTTTGCTACCACCAGGGGTAAGGGAGCAGAGCAGACTATCAGTGTAGGAAGGAGTACAACTTCTTTTAGTTCCTGTTGGGTGCGCAGGGCCTCTGGTCTCCTGGTTCTGGGGTCTCCTGATTTCAGCAGGGGGCTCATAGTCTCCCAGTTCCAGCGGGGAGGCATGGGGGTCTCCTGGTTCAGGGGAGGGGGCACGCCTGAAGAGTGGAGATGAAGTAGACAGGAAAGTGCTCAGTAACACAGTGCTCAGTAACACTATGTCCTGCTTCCTTCCACCCCCTTTGGCAGAGCGCCGGACCCACAGGTCCCCTATCACACTTTGTAGAGTGTGCACATGTAAGAGGAAGTGCTTCATTTCTAAACACTTCTAAATAGAACCTGTTTCCTTCAGTGTTACTTTCGGAGTATTTCTGCCATTTTTGGAGGGCTTCAAAGGGCATATGCATTGTCTGGGTCTCACTTTCTGAAGTGCTTTAAGGGTATTTGAAATGCCTCAGATGTTACAGCCATACACACCAGACTTATTTTTTTTTCTGAAGGACAATCACCATCTGCCCTTTCCCCATGCTCAAAGTCCTAGGAAGATTCATGCAGAGTTACCTGGATGCCAGCATATCATGGGTGTAAGCTGGACACATTGCTGAGTTGTGATGATTCTTGATTAAACAGAGGAGGTTTAATTGATCAGTAGAAGCTACCCTGCCTTACATGCTAGCAGCACCCTGATCATGCATTAAAATCAGAGGAGTGTGTCTTGCAGCTTCTGGGGTTGATCATCACCAATGAAACCCAGGCTTTACCCCCTTCCCCTTCAGTGTTACACTTGCTGCACTGTATCTGTAAATAAGCTAGGTCATGACAGTCTTAGTCCTATACAGGGTCTTCATAAAGTCCTTGTGAACATTTAAACTTTAAAAACTTAGGTTGTAGGTATGATAGAAACAATCTGTAAATGGCATTTAAAAGCAGATTTATTAAAGTTTTAAGACAACTAGAGTACACAATGCTAGACTTCAACATAACCACCATCCGCCATGATGCAGTGCTCAATCCAATCTTCCAACTCCTTGAAAACGTTTCCCAGTTACTCTTGAGTTACTGCACTAATTGCATTGGTGATCCTAGCCCTAAGTTCCACCAAAGAACGTGATTTTGACCATTAAACCACACTTTTAACACGTCCCCATAAAAAGAAGTCCAACGGTGACAGGTCAAGTGAACGAGATGGCGAAGCAATTGGTCCACCTCTGCCTATCCACTTCTCTGGGAAAACGACATTTAGGAACTGTCATACATTCAGAGCGGAGTGGCACAGAGCTCCATCTTATTTAAGAATAAATTTGTTATTACTTATGAAGTCTAGCATTGTGTACTCCAGTTGTCTTAAAACCTTAATAAATTTGCTTTTAAATGCCATTTACAGATTTTTCCTAGCATACCTATAAGTTAAGTTATTAAAGTTTAAAAGTGCACAAGGACTTTATAAAGACCCTGTAAATGACCATTTATGCCAATGGGCCAGACTCTGAATTCTCTGTTCAGCTCTTTCTCATGCAGACTTCTCATTTAGCCTAGACCTGTAAGTTTTCGGTCAAACTCCACTACATCTTTAATCAAGCAAAATTCCCATTGAATTCAAAGGGAGTAATGCTTGTGTAAGGGCTGACAAATGGTAAGAGGTAATATATAGCTAATCAGGTTTTTCAAATAGGACTTTTGGAGGGTGATATCATTTATTGGACCAAGTGCATGACTGGAATAAAGTTAGAAAACCTTTCAAATGCAATACGTTCTTCATCAGATTTTAAATTTAAAAAAAACCCATCACATTACTTGCCTGGGAAATCTTATTGAGTCCACCAGACTTGTAATTCATTTAATATTATCTAATTTATCCTCTGATCTGAGTCCATGTATGTCTTCCACATTTTCCACATGTATCTTCTATGTTATTTTTAATGTTGCACCGAGTACATCTCATGTCCCTCTAGCAGAATGTGTTAGAATGGATTTTGTTTGTTAAAGAATTACTAAGAAGTAGATTCTCTGTGAAGAACATAGCATGGAGGTAGACCTGGGTGATAGGATCCTCCACAAAGGAAAACCGATTAAGTTTGATCCTGGGCTGTCCTTGATATCTGTATTTTAAAATATTGGCATCTATTCTAAGGCCATGTTTTGCTGTAACAAAGTATTGGCATCTTTTCTAAGGGCATGTTTTGCTGTGTGCTCTAACTTCAATTGCAGAGGAAGAATGTCCCCTGGATAGAAACAAGAATACAGTTCCTGTAATAGTGGCCCTGAGTATCCTGGCAATCGTTGTCATTGCATTCATCACGATACTGATTGCCAGAAGGAAGACAAATAGAGGATACGAACGCATCTGAATTGCCAGTGTGCTTCGCTGTATGTGCAGTAAGTATAGTGGCCTTTGGAATCTGGGCTTTTGGCTGCCCGTGGTAAAATCACAGAGCTATATTTTTATATATGGGCTAAGAGCACGTGTGTAAAAGTGGGGCATACTTGTACATGCTTTAACTTGTGCAAGAAGTGACACTGACAACCTATGGCATGCCTGAAAAGAGAATGCAAAATTATTAGGTGCTTAGGTGGAGGAGCAAGAAACACGGAAGGTCCAGGTGTATGATCGCTTATTGGGCATGGAAGTGAATAACCCACGGGTGCATAATCACAAGAAATTCTGTTAACCCAATGCTCGGTGCTGGTCTCATGGGAAACTACAGAACTATGTACAGAAGTGGCAGGACAAGTAGTAGAGTGGTGCAACAGTGCTGTAGCACTTTCCTAGCCAGATATGGTTGGTTTGATCCTCATTCCAGAGGCAAAATTTTTATTATTGCTTTTTCTACTGCTGTCTTGAGAGTCTTACTTCAAATCTGTAAAATGCATAATAAAGAAAAAGAACGATGTCTTCTAAGAACATGCATTTGTTTAAATGCCTGCCTGCAGGAGGGAACAGATGAACCAGAGCTGGCTATAAAAGACTCACCAGCATAAATGCCATATCAGCACCTAGCTTAAAGTTATCTAAAATAGAGGACCTGAAAACACTATTTACAGGCTAATGTGATGAGTTACTAGTATGTATGGTTATAACAGGATAGAGGCAAGTGTGAATTAGTAAAAAATGAGGTCAACTTTTAAGAAATTATCTCCTGGAAGCTCCTAATTCAAGTGGTTTCCTCTTCAGAATAGTCACAGTGGTTTCCACCAGCCTCAGTAATTGCTTCTCTGCCATGATGACAATACTGTGATTTCTTCTGTTCCAAGTGTGGGACTATGCCATAGTTACTGGAAATACAGAGAATTAAGTGGGTATCTGTCACAGAGTGTTCACACGAGGTCTGTGAACAGAAAAGGAGTCCCGTAAGATGTGCTCTCAGGACTTCAGTGGGATGGAAGTGGTGCACAGGCCTTGAGCATGAGGTTGAAATTTATTCTGTGTGCTTACAAACTGAATTTTCACATGAAATAATTTGAGGTTTGTTTAAAGCACATGGATTGCAATGGTTTATATACTCTTTTCCACTAATCAGAGGATGTAATAGTGATTGACCTTGACATGATATTAAAATCAATATTCTCTGAGGATCCAGATCTCCATCTTGTACAAGACTTACAAAGTCTAAAAAATATAAAAAATACAAAAAAGTCCCAACCCATTGCAACAAAAAAATACATTAAAGAAAAAATAAATGAACCACAGGCGCCTGTTAAATCGGGCCTGCTAACAGCAAGTAATGGGTTAAATCCCATTGGTAGTGGGACTTTTGGCTGCAAAGGCTTTCAGGATGGGCCCTTATTAAGCAAAAGGTGGTATTTGCGGAAGCCCTCACTATCGCTTTAATTTGGGGGAAAGTACAACAATAAACAACACTTGGACCAAAATTTGGTCAAGTAAGGGCATAAATCAGAGTAACTCCATTCACTGCAGTAGAATTATCCGGACATCCACCAAGATAACCAAAATTAATATCTGGCCTTTTCTGTTTATTTCAATCTGAAGTACATCTAAAAGTAGTTTTGATATTTTACTAGTGCTCACTTAACCAGTAAGTGCTTGCTCACTTAAGCAATAAGAAAGAAACTTTACCTCTGCTGTAAGAATTACTAAATGATGATGTCTTGATGTTGATAGTGGTTTATTCAGAGCTTAAAATCCAACTACAAAAGTAACTGTGGTTTCCCATAAATGCCTCTTAGCGGCTCTCTTGCTTGTAAATATGAAAAAGTTTTGCAGCATGTCTGAATCTGAACCTCAAATGAAAATCCATCATCAAAGAGGCAAGACTCTTGGATATTTTTGTAAAGTAACATGGCAAACAGGAAGATGAGGGCCTTTCAAAGTGCTGGAAATGATCAAGTGACTCAAATGTTCCAGCATTCAATGATTCCATTGTGAAGGGCTCAGTCACTGTCAACTTCACTCAACTTTTACCCTATTTACTCTTTC